TAAACTCTAACTTAAGCTAAGTATAACTTCAATTTCTTAATTGTAACGACTTTTGTCATTATATCTGTAGGATTTTAAACTGCGTGTATCTTCTCGAAAGACAATTGACTATTTTCTATGAGAGAAGGAATGAAGTGATATCTTAGCTGAATTTGCTATATCCTGTTATGAAATACAACATTCTTTGCTAGATGAATAACACTTATACTATCTTTCCAATCTCTTGCTCTTGCTTTATTCTATCATAAAGCTATGCAGCCAAATTATCTTTTTGTTAGCCTTAGTATACTCAGCTTCTGTAGTTGAAATTGCAACAATCTTCAGTAATTTGAAAATCCAACTCACTATTATGTTCCCTAATGTGAAAATATAATCCGTTGTATTTCTTCTACCATCAATATCTCCTTGATTTGAACATATCCCTGTAGATTAATCCCTACACTGCCGAATCAAAGTATTTTATTGACTGATCTTTTCAAGTATTTGAGAATCTACTTCACCGCCTCCCAATGTTGTTTTCCTGGATTATTTATGTACTTGTTTAACACTCCCACTGCATGTGCAATATCAACCTTGTACATAACATTGCATACATCAAACTTCAAACATCTGAAGTATACGAAGTTTTTCTCATTTGTGTTTGATTTGCTTCAGACTTGGGCAATTTTTCTTTAGTTAGCTTGAAGTGAATACCTAAGGAGGTAAAAATTGCTTTTGCTTCACTTATGTTGAACTTGTGCAGGACATTCTCAACATATTCAGTCTAAGAAGTTCAATTCACCTACACTCTCGTCTCTATTGATTCTCATGCTGATGATTTGCTTGGTTGAACTTAAATTCTTTATTTTAAACTCCCTTAATAATTCCTCCTTCAAGTCCTTGATCTTCTCCATATTTGCTCCTGCAATTAACATATCATCTACATACAAAAGAAGCACGATATATTAATTACTAAAATGTTTGATGAAATAATAATTATCAACTTGGCACTTCATGTACCTATTGTCTGATAAAAAAATGTCAAATCTCTTATCCCACTTTGGGTCTGTTTCAAATCATAAAGACTTTTCTTTAGTCTGAAAACCATGTTTTCTTTTCTTGAAACTTGGTATCCATATCGTGCATCATATAGTTCCTCTTTTAAGTCTCCATTTATGAAGACTTTCTTCACATTCATTTGATCCAAATGTAGATCTTTCTTTGTTATTAAGCTCAACACAACTTTGATTGTTGTCATATTCATTATAGGAGAAAATATCTCAATGTAGTCAACTCTTTCTTTTTGTTGAAACTACTTAACAACAAGTTTTGCCTCGTAGTGTTTGCTATCTTCTGACTCTTCTTTCTCGCTTGTTGTGTAATGTCTTTTTGTCTTATGATAATTTTGCCAAATCCCTTGTCTAGCTTGTAAATTCACTTGTTGTGTAATGTCTTTTTTGTCTTATGATAATTTTGCCAAATCCCTTGTCTGATTTGATCTTAGTGATTGCATATCGTCATTCAACTTGAGTGACATTTTCGTAGTGCTCTTGTTTATTACTATCAGTTAGTAATAGATAGTACAAAGAAAGAGAATACCTCTCTATTGATCGAGTGATTCTACTAGACCTCTTAACTTTAGTAGTAATTTTCTGAGGAAATTCCTGTGCTTCTTCAACTTGAGCACATTTACTTTTTCTTTTTTCTCGATCATCATTATCTTTTATCTCAACATATTTGAAAAACTCTTAAAATGTAACTGATGAACAATTATGAGTTTTGTTTTTATTCTCGTACATTCTTATTTCGTTGAAAGTTATATCCCTGCTTCTGTTTAATTTCTGATCCGATAGTCCAAAAATTTCTATTAAAATTCATCCGAGTCATATCCAATGAAAGTGCGCTTGACAGATTTGAATCAAACTTACACCTGAATCTTGTATCAATATGAACATGTTATGAACTAAATACTTTCAAATGATATAGATTCACCTCTTACTCCAGGTTTCTTCATGCAAGTTTTTATTCAAAGGTACTTACAGATCATAATTGATTATATAAATTGCACTATTCACTATCTCAGCCTAAAATTATTTTGGAAAGCCTGCGTGCAATCTCATACTCCTAGCACGGTCTGTGATGGTTCTATTCAACCAAATGCAACTCTATTTTACTCTGGTGTCATTAGATGAGTAAATTGATGCCTGATTCCCTTTGAAGCACAATAATTTCTGAATATTTGATCACCATACCACCATTATCTAATCTGAGACACTTAAATCTCAAGTTTGTCTCGATTCTTAAAAATCTATAATACATCATATTCATATAACCTTTATGGTGTGATCATTACTAAAAGTGACAAAGTATTGAGAACCTCCAATAGACCGATCCATATATCAATATACACTAACTCTATCTTTTACCCACTTTTAAAGAAAATAATCTTATTTTGATTGTCATAAACACAGTCTTCACAAAAATTTAGATCTATAGATTTTAAGTTGGGGAGTTTTTTTCTTAGAAAAGATGTACTTCATACATTTCTCACTTCTATGACCAAGCCTATGGAGCTAGTGAGCCACACCACCTTTTGTTCCATTAACACTAATGGATTCAGACATCTTAATCAGGTAAAGGGTGCCTTCAATGTTGCCTCGAACCATCACCATTGCTCCTTTGGACACCTTTCACGAATCATCTTTGAAAATAATCGCATACCTTGTTTGTGCATTCTAACTCACATAAATCAAGTTTTTTTTTCAAATATGAAACATGCCCAACTTTATTGAGCTTCCAAATTGTTCTTTCAGGCAATTTTATATCAATATCGCCTTTTCCAATAATGTTGTAAGTCTTGTTATCTCCCAAATGCACATTTTCTAGATTACTTTGAGTGTAATTTTTGAATTTCTCTTTCTCAGGGCTAGCATGAAAAGAAGCACCTGAATTCACTATCCATAATTCAATATCTAGGGATAAAACAAAGGTAGTCACATTGAATTTCATCTGTGGAGACTTTTGTAGAGAGCTTCCTATATGAACCTTTATCACCAACCTTTGTTGCCTTGCAGTCCTTCTTGAAGTGACTTTTCTTCCCACAGTTTCAACATTCACCTAGGTCTTTCCCTCTCCATGGCCTGAACTTTCCTCTCTTGGACTTGAATCTTTTCTTGCCCGTGTTTCTGTTTAGATTCCTTCCTTTGTTTTCAATATTCAGGGCAGAATTTGAAGCTTCACCGGTCACCTTCTAGCAAACTTTTTTATTCATCTCTAACGCCACAATGTTATCAAAGTTTAACTTAATGTTACTGAAGAACTGTTCATCGCAGTTACTAATTCATTCCAATTGTTTAACAATGAAGATAAGATTGACAGTGCCCTGACCTCGTCATTGAATTTGATGCCAGCATAACACTATTGATTAGTCACAATGTTGAAGTTATTCAAGTGCTCAATCACTGAACTACGATCCCATCTTTATATTGAACAATCTTTTCATTAGAAAAAATTTCTTTTAAGCCAATTTCTTTTCATACATTCTTGTTAGTTCAATCACGAGATCAACTATAGCTTTTTCATTCACAATGTTGAAAACAACAAATGATGAAATACAGATTAAACCTAGGGCTGTTCGATCAAGCACTTTCCATTCTTTCAGAGTCATCAATTATGACTTTTTGGTGATTCCTTCTGATGATAAATATAATTTCTTTTAATACAATAAATCTTCTATTTACATTTTCCAGAAAATAAAGTTCGAACCGTTGGACTTTTCCATCTTTGGCCTCGCTTTGTCGGCCATTGCTCCAACTCCAACTAAAAACTTCAGAGAATCACACTCTAATACAAATTTTTGGGAATTAAAACAAAGAAGACAGTGGAAATTAATTCGAGCGATCCAAAACAAAACTTAGAATATTGATACCTTTTACATGATAAAACTTAAAAAAAAAAAGGAAGATAATGAGGTTTTAAAATCATAATTTAAAAAAAGGAAGATAATGAGGTTTTAAAATCATAATACTCACTTTTCACTATTTGAATACGATGCAGTATACTTGCTTAACTTGGATAGAACAGATGATCAAACTAAAATTATGAAATTATTTTTGATTTACCAAGGTCAATACTGTTTAATTGTTTATTTCGTAAGCAAAACATCATTATCTGTCAGAATTCATGCGATCATACAATCATGCACACTATCTTTAAATGCTTATTTTCTTGGAACCTATAATCGTTTCAATATATATGAATAAATCATTAGAATAGTACTTGCACCTGATCACATTTTAAACTGGGACAGTTCAAATTTTTGAAATTGAACTCGAATCATGACTTCTTTGCCTGATCCAGTCTAGTAATAGTGACTTAACCTGCCAAGATCGTACTAATTTCAAATAGTTTAAGAACTTTTTGAGGTTCAGCTTTAAAACTGACGTTGCCATTGAGCGCTATAATCTATAAATTGGAGAAAGGTCTTGAAGGCAGAAGAGAAGAAGCTTTTCTTATGAAGAATGAAACCTTTCTAATTCTTCATCATCTTTCTTGAATAAATTGAAAGGGAATCTAGCGTTGTAATTACTTTCTTATTCTCTTCTCTGGTTTGTATTTACTAAATCGAAGAAAATGTTTGGTTTCTGCTTCATTTTGAAGTGGTTGGAACTGCTTGATGTCATTAAATTTAATCTTTGATTTTAGGGAAGTTTACATACATACCACACAATTCTTATGTATTTACATATCTTACACTTAAACTTTCATATTTACATTTATAATACTTTGGTGTGAGAAACCAATGCATGAAAACGTGCATTCTACTTATAAAAAGTAAGTTGATGGTGTTATTTTTGATGTGATATTAAAGGTTTGAGTGCTTTGAATGTAAATATTAAAGTATGGGTCTTAGATATGTAAATACATTAGAATTGTGTGCTATGTATATAAATGCCCCTTAATTTTATTACCATTTTCTTCCCATTATGCTGGCAGTATCTATATCTTATTGCCGTTGGCAGGTTAGCTCTCAAGGCATTCACTGATCAGAAGAGGCGTTTTTTCCCCCACTTGGAGGATGAAGCATTTACACAATATACTCAGGGGGAACTAGGCGCTGCTAAAAAACCTCATAGCTCCCAGGAATTACTTCCTGGACATAAAGATGAACTTAGGGAAGAGAGAACATTATCTGACATAATTAATAGCCTACTAGTTGTAGCTCCTGATGTCAGAATCTATACATATCAGCGCCTTGACTGGTTGAAGAGAGCTTCTTCATTATCAGTATTGCCTAATGATCATTTGATTGACTCATCAAATGAATATAGCTTTCAAAGTAGTTGCAACTCAACATCCGTTTTAGGAAATACTGCCTCTCTTTCAGAAGATCAGGTTGCTGTTATTGAACTGCTTGCACCTTCTGTCTTCAGAGCTGTAGTTTCATTGCATCCGGCAGGATCCCTGAGCCCTGATGCAGTAGCATTTTTCTCCACCAACGAGGTAGTGTTCTTAAAGGGCCATAATTGAGGACATGTCTGATTTGAATATATGCATTCACTAGAGAAATAATTTATTTATAATCTTTTAAAAAAATACTGTTTAGCTTCCTTGCCTAATTTTGTTTTTTTTTTTAGTTCACTGATATTTTTGGTCTTCTCTTTTTTTGTGAGCTGCATCTACTCATTCCTAAACTTAAGAAAAGTGAAAAATCATTAATGTTTGAAAAACTATCATCTAACATTTTGTATGGTGCTCATTATTTTTGACATACTTATATCTTATATTGATTTTTGCATTGTGATAGAACTTATAGACGATGAACAGATGTTTGGCAGTACCGGAATTGTTTTCAGAATATCTCTGTGGACCTTTATTTTAAAAATTACTTGACCTAATTTTCTAATTAAATTCCTTAATTTCCTTTGTAGGGTGGCAGCTATGTTCATGCTAGAGGTTTGTCGATTTTTCATGTATTTCGACATGTTACGGTAGTGATTACAGTTTGTCACTTCTCATTGATGTTGGTGGATGGTTGTTACTGTTGTTTGAAGTATCTGCGTTTCTTTCTTGCAGGAGCATGCTGATAAGGCATTGCAATATTTTGAGAGTATTAACATGGATACCTCGCTATCGCTTCTTTTGGTACTTATATCTGATCTGTTCTATATAAATGCATGTCTTATCTGAAAAGTAATATTTTTTATATACTTTCTAAATAATTTTATTGTCGTCCCTGAACTTGAAAATGCATTCATTATATATGCGATTTACTTCTGAATAAAAGAGTTCTGATATAACCTCTTAATCATACTACTGCATGTAATTTTTTTTTGTTTTAAATAATTCTGCTATTATGTTTCACCTTAAAAATGTATGGATTATACATGCTAAATATAAGATTTCTGATATAATTTTTTAGACTCGTTGCAATTTCCATGGTCTTTGCCATGACAATATGTTGATAATATGACGTGATGTGTAACATTTTGACCTTTGCAGCGCTGGATCTGCAGCTACCAAACCTTATTTACAAAAGTCTGCTGGTAATGCCTGCACTCCATACCTCATAATTATTCTTTTGTTATCAAATCTTAAATTATATTTTTTATGCAGTAAATGTGAGCGATTATTGGTGATGGACGAGTCCTTAGCTTTAATATTACCTCCTGTGCGTCGCTCTTATAGGAATGCTTCTGCATCGAAGTATTGCCGAAACCAGTTGGCTTCATCTGATATGGGCTATGGTTGTGATTTTGTCTTTGCCTACCATATTGGGTGCTCTGTTGATGATTCATGATGCTGCTCGGATGCTTAATCCTTTCACAAATTTTGTTCAGCTTGTTTCTTGACTGCAAATTTCACAAAAAGGTAAGTAGTATTAGCTCGTTCTTTCACTATGGCGATAGTATTTATGTTTGTCATATGATATGGTTCAAAAGTTAACATGTAATAAATTTTATATTATTGAAGTCTTGTATTGCCATTTAGCAAAATTTTTGTCTCCTCGTGTTTGCATCATATTGGGCTTCAGAGAGATAATCAAAAGAAATGAAAGACTCTAATAGAATACTTGAAAGCAATTAATTTTATGATTAACATGCATTTAATTTCAGGAGGACTTTGTTGCTTGTCGAGCTAGATATGATATGTGAATCAAGCAAAAATTGGCCATGGAGGTTGCAAATCAAAGTAAAGAAGATAAGGCTTGCCATATATATATATATATATATATATATATAGAGATAGATAGATAGATGTAGATATGTATTTTAAAGGAATGACCAGAGACTATTATACGAGCTATTATATGAGCCTCCAGCCACCTCTAATGTGCCTAACAATTCGAGTACCACCTCCTTAAGGCCAACCGTGTCGAAACCCTGACCTAAGGGGTCTTATACCGAGGATGCCAACCAACAGGCCGGGGTACGCGGCACATACACTCATATATATATATATATATATATAAATTTCTGGGATTGCTAAAGCATTAAATTCATAGCCGGTATACTATGTAGATGTCATTATTAATGATGACAGAACAAAATCTATTGTATGCCAATAGAATTGATGCCTATAAATATGCAAATACAATCAACGAATCATGAAGTATAGTATGGCAAAGTACTGTCTTGA